CAGCCGAGCTGCCGCGTTCTGCAGGCGTTGCAGCTTACCAAGATGAACAGCGGGCGTACCATATAATAGACCGTTACAATAGTCTAATCGTGACATTATAATAGCCTGTACAATGGACTTCCTATTATCATATGATAAATACTTTCTAATACGCCGGATGTTAAGTAGATGGTAATAAATATTCTGACATATGCTGTTAATATGTGTAGTCATATTCATGTTTGCATCAAACCAAGCACCCAGGTTTCTAACAGAGTAAACCGCAGAAACCTTTACCTCACCTACTTGCAAGTCACTTATCATAACCTAATTAAACTCAGAGAAAGCAAAGAAACGCTTGAAAACTTGGCCTTTCACGACATGATAAACAAAAGTATTATCTACCTTGCCTGTATGGTCATTATGACAAATATTTCTCATGCTGAAAAAACAATAAAATTCAGTTCCGATAAAAAGGATATGAATCTTTGAACAGCTCGCCGTATAAGAAGTACAAAACTAGTAGTATGAGGTGATCGTAAGCTAAGGGAAGTCTGGTACTTAATTATTTTTATTATTCATTCAAAATGTTTCTTCAATTCTGATTGGCTAAAAGCACACGCATAACTCACCATAACCAGTTGCTGATAACCAAATTTAGAAGAATTTTGTGTTCAACGAGGAGGGTGTTATCCACCTGGGCCTTCGGCTTCGGTGGATATCACCCTCATCGATCTGCCATTAATTCGTCATATCCTACTCAGCCTCATTCATTAATTGCTAAATAGAAAAATGAGTCTAAAAATTGCATGTGAATAAAGACCTATTTCCATAGAAAAAGAAAAGCACTAGGAATCGCTTTAAAAATAATAGGCATTTAAAAAATTGCGCCGCTTAAACATCTGGCATTTTGCGTCATGTTAATATTCTGAAGTAATTGACTGGTTTTGAATAAAGATAAGACCATATGATCTCATATTTTACAAAACTTCCTTTAACTGCTAAGATGGAGATCTGGTTTTGGATTCTTGGCTGGGTTCTTTCGTTTCTTGCCATTACTGGAAATGGATTTACAATCTTCCTCGTTTTCAGCAGACGAAATCTCCGCACCAAAACCAACGCGTTTATTGTCTTACTTGCAGTAGCGGATTTTCTGTGTTGGTTTGGACGTTATTCCTTCTCTGTTTGCATGTGATGTTACAAACACCTGCTACTGGCCTCAGCATTTGCTGTCTTGGGTGACTTTCATACGGTTGCTGTTTAGTAGCACGTCTGCTGTAAACTTATGCGGCTTGGTACTGGATCGTTTTGTTGCCATCGTTCATCCTCTCAAATACATTACTTTTATGACTTGCCGTCGAATTATCCGAAGTACTTTCTTCTCTTGGGTCTTATAATATCCTTCAGTTTCTAATTTTGATTATTTGCAAAACAGCTATTCTCATTTTCCTTTGGCTACATCTAACTGTCTTCGAATTCCTTCCATGTGTTGTATTTAATATCCTGCTTTGTATCAATGATATTTCACGTACGCAAGCATAATCAGTCAGAACGCACCTTGGCAAAACATTTACGTTCTAACCATCGGATATCTTTTAAAACCCATCAGAAGAATTCTGCAGTAACAATGATGGGCCTTGTGATAGGAGTGTTTCGTGTGTGCTACGGAATACATCTACGTTGTAGTCTGGTAGTTCTATTCGACACAAATGCATCATGTACAGATGAACAATTCAAAATTCCTGTCTTGGTTTTAAACTCAGCTGTTAACCCACTATCTTATGCCTTTTTCAAAAGAGATATAAAGAAAGAGTTAAGAAGACTTATTGAAAATGGCTGTTTTTTAATGAATAAAGAACATGAATTACGGGTTGTGGCAGGATTCGACAGTTTTGGCGCTGGCAAAGATGTGGCTCTTGGACTCAAATCGAGTTGGAATTTGGAAAATATCCCCGATCACAATTGGTGTTTGTGCAGGGAACAAGCAAGAACCAAAGGACACATTAGAATACATACATTATACACCTAGAGAGAAAGAATTCCGCAGAGACCCAGGATAAAATGCTACAGCAGGCAGTTAATTTGTTCAACTCCTATTTTATTGCCGGGTCAGTTTGTTCAAGATGGCAGCTGGGTAGACAGTCCCTTTTTCATCGATTACAGCTATCAAAATTGAATTCCGGTTTTTAGATCATAGAAACTTTATGGATTAAAATTTGTGTCTTTATGAAGTAGAGTCCAGATGTTTTTGGAAAGGATGTTGTATATTTGCTGTTGATAAGAAAACCTTTTCCAGATTTTGTTTTGGCTACCTGGATCAAACGTTTTCCGGAAGGCATCATTAAGCCTTGTAAATGAACATGTCTCACGATTGGAAAGGTCTGCCTTGTCCAATAGCTTAACGTATTTCGTGTAATTTGGCTACATGAGTGAACGACTGATCCCAGGCACGAGACAAAAAGATAATCGATAATAGCAGCTAAATTGTTCTAGGCAGTGACGAGTCTCTGGTCTCAGAAAGTAGGTTCTAGGGTGAAATCTGTTCGGCGACAGCTAAACTGATGCTGATTTCTGACCAGGCTATAATATACTTAAAAACGGGTAAAGCTGTTGAAATCTGTTTTGGAGGCGAGACCTTCATCTGTCAGTCTAATTTACATCTGGGAACTCGAATTAAAATACTGTGAGAGATGTGTTTACAGTTGTTTAATTTAAGTCGCCAAAAGCGTGAGGCTTTTTGAGAGTTTTGCTGTATGTTTGTCCCTTTTGAATTAATGATATTTCGCCCGTATTACGTGAAATGTCCTTTCGCTGTCACTGTCGATCAAGCTTTCCACGGATATATCACTTTGACTTTCAATGGAAATATCACTAACAAACTTACCCTATTCAACTATTCATTGCACTTTTTCTACTGAGAACGTAGGCAATTCAATCAAAGGGTGGGTTCATGACTCCTCACTGGGAAAAGAGTTGTAGGAAGACATGACATTGGCAATTGCAACGACGGAGGGTGCCTGTATTCTGAATTTTTTCTTTGAGAATCAGCTGTTTCTCACAAATACCCTGTCGCAAAAAGGTCCAGAGCGGCGTAATGAACAATTACTATTCATAATAGTAATGCCTGGCACAGACTACAATAAGATTATTCGTCTGTTCACTCTAAAGTCGCCTTCACCTTCGATCCTCTCCAACTCCAAAAAAACAGGTTTACCGAGTACATACATGAAGACGCTAATTGGCGGGGGTGATGAAAGATGAATCTCAAATTAAATGAAACTGAAAGAACGAATGAACAGCAATGGGCACAGCCGAAAATAGTAGTGTTCCTGGATACCGATGCCAAAACAGTCGGTTTTCACCCAGAAACAACTACGACTAGTTCGACGATTTAGACCCTCTAACCCAGGATCTCCTTGAAAAGAACCGTTGCTCACCTAAGGGACAAGCACTCCTTCTACGAGGTCTTTAAGCTTTTTATGGACCCTCTCACCAATTAAAGGCTCCCATTTTGCTGTGCGGATGGCTTAACGAACTCTTTCTTCCTGAGACCGACATTGTGTCCTGGAATGAATGATTTCCGGTAATCTTAGACCCATGTTATGCGCACAGAAATCTGGGATCGCCAGGGGGCAAACATTGCGAGTCGCTAAAAAGAAATGTATGGCGTTATGCAGTCTCTCCTTCAATAGTAGTGCCTTTGGACATAGAATAAGGCATTTTCGTCGATATATTTTGTCAGAAGCCGGAGGTGACGAATGTTGGTGCGTTGAAATTTTAAGTTTTTTGTGATTGATGCGAAAAATTCTATCGATAATAATTAATATGAAGAAAAGGTCTCGAAATATGTAGTACAAATTTAGATATGAATGTAGGGACACTGGATCATGATAGTTACGTGACGTGATATTTACGAGTGTTACTCCGCTCGGGAGCAGTCAGCGCTCTGCAGCCCTTTGCGCCCATTAAAACAAAAATCATCCTTTACTATGGTATGAACAAATTAAAGTAACATTTACGAAATATTCCATGGTAAGTACATGGTATTTATACATGAGCAGATAAAGCAGAAACCGTACGAGTGAGTGCCGCGATCAAAACTAGTAAGATTTCCGATATATATATATATGTATATGATATATCTGTCTGGATTTGATAAAAGGTACCTCCAGAAATTTTTAGCAACAGTCTCATTTGAGGCTTGTTCAGTACTTGACCATCCCTTTTTTTTTAACGATCTTTTCAGTACAAAAATCCCCTTTAAAGCTACAGTAGATCAAAAAACATGCGTTTAACATGTGTTTAATATGCTGTTTACATCTGTTTACATCTCGCAGCTCTCCCCTCTGTTAACCAAGTTTCTTAAGAGTGGCAGTCATAAAACACTACGACATTTGAAATCAGCGCGCGTGGTAGAAGTTATTTTCCGTGGTCGGTTAATTTTCTAGGTTTCTTTTTGGCCGCCTGCAGCAAAGTTTTCCGGAAGGCACATTAAGCCTTATGAAGGAACAAGTCTCACGATTGGCAAAGTTTGCCGTCGTCCAATATGTTATTAGAGCAACTTTTCATGTCTTCAGCGATTAATTCGTCCGTTTTAAGCCCCAACTAGCGACTTTTAACTGCTTTTTATTGACCTCAAGGGTCAAATTGTTAAAACGCACTTGAAATTTCTGGATCATGACAAAACATTTTACTTGCGTTTAATTTGGCGAGGAGAAATCAGCATACCAACGTGAGGAAGATGCATGTTTTGTTTTTAAAGATATACATGTCTATACAGACCTTCGATCGTTGCCACAACATTGCCGCCGAGCCAAGCTTTGTTATACTCATTGTAAATATCAGCACAATGTAACTACAACTGGAAAGGCTTGAATGCGTCATTCCCTGAATTTATACGAAAGCTGTACATTTTGAGACCGTTCAGTAAATTTCACAGTCGACCTTACGCAAGACAGATTGTTTATCCATAGAACACACAAAAACCAGATCCAGGGTTTTTCGAAGGAGGGGGTGAACTACTCGGAATGGCGTATCTGACTGATGACGTAAACAAATTTTACAAGCGAAAAACAGAATACCAGTTGTATTAGAAAGCTGCAGGTCATCTAAGGGGGGAGGGGGTGCACACCTGCTGAACCCTCCCTCTATACCCGTCCCTGAATCATTTCATTCACCTTAATTATAGGATTTTTGATAACTGCTGCTTCTGAAGCAATATGCCAGCAACAGTTTAATCTCTTTGTGGGTCTTTGTGCTCAAATTAAATTTGGTACCATTCAGGTAGAGAATCGCTTTCCTGCCAAAAAAAACTTTACAGTGCAAAGGCCTAATTTCTGACTTCCTTGAGAGAAAGAAAGTCACAATAGGGAGGTGCAATCATTAGCCGGTCTTCTAACTTTTTCACGTTCAGTTATTCATCCATAATAATAATGCATAATAATGCATAATAATGTATAAGCGAATTAATGGGTATGTGCCGAATTATCTAAATGAACACTTCATTTTGAACAATAAGCGGCACTCCCGCAACACTAGATATTCAAGCATTAATGCTGTTTGTCCTAAATATAGAACAGAAACAGAGGGAGGACGCTCTTTCGCTGTTTCGGCAACAAGACTGTGGAATAGTACACCAATTGAAATTAGGAAACTAGATTCTGTAGCATGTTTTAAAAAGAACATGTTTGCCAAGATTTTTAAGGAATTTTGCATCATTTTATCATTTAATAATTTTTTATTTTTATAAAATTCGAATCCTGTTTTATTTTAATTGTTTATATATTTTAGCTTACTATATTTATTAGATTGTAAATAGTTGTGTATTTTATGAGGGCCAGAAGTTTATTAGCCTTTGGCTATTAAGTGCTACCCTCTTTAAATAAAGGCTTTATTATTATATTATTATTATTATTATTATTATTATTATATCCAGGCAGAGCCTTTTTGCGCAGACACATCGATCTTACCATTAATCGACATCCAATCACCGTAACATTATATTCGCCTAAAAAAAGGGGAAGGCTGATTTAAGAGTTTGGAATGATTTTTTCGATGAAAATAATGACAAATCCTTTTTTCCTTGAAGATCTTTGGTATCCTTCTTAGCCCTTGCATCTTTACACTAGGTTTTGGTGCTCTTTTCTAAAATCACTGGTGCTATGGGTCCTGGCCACCATCCAGCTGGAGCACGTGAGTATATTACATTGCTGCTTTGGAATTTTTTCCTATTGTGCTCAGTTTGTCTCTTTAGGGTAGTCATATAAGCAACCTCTCTATTCTAATTCGAGGTTGGACTCTTCATCGAATAAATACGGTATTTGCAGAAACATAAAAATCTTTCACAATCCTTCTGTTTCTCCCATGATCGTCATGCGTAATGTAAAACACAACAATGTTCTTTTAATTGAACTTAATATTTCACTCAATCAGTGAAATGATAACAGAGACAGTACTTTGCATGATAATGAACGTAAGGTAAAATGATCTTATTATTAAATATTGCTCCCACTGTTCTATTTCAGCAGGAATAAAATAAATCCGATGCAAACCGGTTAGACTGGTTTTGATAACTACAGTATATTCTAGTGTCACTCAAAGAAAGATATCTACTTTTCAGACAACTAGGAAATGCAATTTTAGCTAGAAATTTTACTAATGAAGAGAAAGATAAATATACACTTAGGTAAATATAATTATATAAGACGAGCTATTATCTCTTGCTGGAACTCTCTTAATATGGTTGCTTCTAGGCTCTACGACGTTAAGACCAGTAAAACATTAGCAGCATGGGCTCATGCCACGTTTTACATAAAAAAGCGTATTAAAAACGTATAAAAGAGTACCGAAATCTGCCGCTAATTCCATCAACCTCATTTTTTAGTAAACTTCAAGATAGCAGCCAACATGGCGGCCTTTTTTATAGCGTCATGTCCTATATAGATACCTATCATCGTCAAGAGGTTATCGCAGATCATTCATTTTTCCCGTTGTTATTTTTTCAACCGCCCACCCGTAAATAGAAACACCTAACTAGTGACTGTTTTTGTATGCAAAGTACGGACCAATGTACAGCAGTGGGGTATTCCCAAAAATTGAAATTACTTATGTTTAACTTAGAGGCTTACAATAACACATCATCCCCCCCGCGCGCTTTCTTTTTCCCTCTCCTTGCGACACAATGAGGCCTCTGCGGGGGAGAGAGATAACACATGCAAAGAAAGAAAAGCCTTAAACTACAAACAGGTGATACACATGTCAATGGACGCCAGAAAAGCATTAAAAGTATTCCTCCTCCTCCTCCTGGAAAGGCTAACCAGCCAAGTAAACGCCCATAATAAAATGTGTATATTACCATATATGCAGCACCGAATTCATACGTTCAAGTCCTCTATATTTGCGAACAACTGGTTGTCGTAAATGTGCATGTTGATCAGCTTCTGTGGGTGAAATAACATTTAGCTCAAATTTCCAACTTGTTTTCTGATTATCAAAAAGATCTTTAGAAAAGTGGCTCTCTCGTCCTTGTTCTATACAAAGTCATGCACAATCTCTTTAGTACAGTCTTTCCCCTTATGGCGAGAAGAACTGTGCATGATAGAAACGTTTCTGTGAGCATCCGTTTTTCCCAGTCTGAACCTTGTCCCCAGCTGCGTATCATCAGAATGTTTGGTCCGAAATTAAATGGAGGATCCGTTTTCTCAATTTTCCGTAAGACTCTCTTACAAGTTACGGCATTTCACAATAAACCACATTCGCGCCCCTACTAGTGATTATATATTATGATACGAAATATGCAAGTTAAAAATTATTTAGGAAACGGCTAGCAAGACATGGGAAAAGATGAAAGAGACCCATACAGCAACATATGTAATGGGAAAAGTTTCTGAGATATTGTAGACAAAAATGGGAAAGCAATAACAAAAGATACGTTGGTTCATAATATAATATGTATCAATGAGAAATCCAAAAACAACCTTACAAATATAACTGTTACTAACTGTTTTCTTGGTATCGAGCACCTTAATTTATTTAACAGTCCAGAATATCCCTAAATTTAATGACAGGGCCAACTGGTCACGTGACACTTTTCAACCAATGAGAAGGCGCGCTTGTGCTCATCAACACACAAATCAAAACATCGCCCCAGTGATCAAAAATTTTCACAACAGATAAAGCCATCAGACAACTTGGCTAAGAATACTCTTCCCTGGATATATAATGAGCATTAAAGAAAAATAATTGTTGTGATTGATGATGTCCTTGAAAGAATTTGTATGTCACTAGGTACCGACAACCTCACCTTATGTTGGTTTTCCATATCCTTCAGCTGCTTCGCCAAAGCGGTGAATGATGGTCTCGATTTTGGCTCATTTTGCCAACAGATCATCATGACTTGATATCTGGGGGAGATAAGATCATTTCATATGAATTTGTTTTATCGATTCCTGGGTTATGGTTCGGATCTTACATGTCAAAGACCTATCAGCTAACATAAATGACCTCTCGTCATATTTTATATAAGGGCCTGTTTACATGGAGGTGGGGGACCATAGGTAGGTGAGGTAATACGCTTAGGTGAAGTAACTAATCTCTTATATGGTCACCCCGCCTATCATGTTAACGTGATCAAATTAAAATGAGAGATTCTATGGACAGGCGGGTTACCCCACCGAAGCGAGTTACTTCACTTACCCGGGGTCCCCCACCTCCATGTAAATAGACCCTTGATCAATTAATAATTTTAAAAAAAGAAGTGACTGGTTAATGAAACTTTGGGTACTACACTACACTTTTGTGCAAAAAATATATATATATTTAATGGCAGAGCCCCATAGTTAAGGAAATATGGTAATCTACCCATCCGAGAAAATTTGGTAATCACGTGACTGTACACCGACCGACCGACCGCCCGCCCGACCGTCCGTACCACAGGCATACCAATGTAAAATAACTTAATCAACAGGTATGGCAACCCAAATGCAACTCAAGGTTTTATTTGGAAGGAAATCACATGGCCGCCCGGCCTTTTAGAAAGAAAAAACAACAACAAAGTCGTGTCTTTTCGGCGTTATTTTTTATGTTTACACTACCGTGGATAGAGAGAGAGCTAGAGCGAGGTATTAAAGACAAAGGAGACGAATTTCGTAGGAAGAAAAACATGGAAATTCAAAGCGGCGGTGAGAAAATGAAAAATTCTAGCGGCTAGCAAGGTGAAAATGGGCGGCAGTGAAAAATAAAAGCGAACATGAACACAGGAAACAAAATATTGGGTAAGCACATACGACAATTCCTCCATAAAAATAATGTGTAACTAGGAAGTTTGACGTTTTAGACCCTGTTTACATGGAGTGGGGGACCCCGGTCTAGTGGGGTTGGTTTCTTTTGTTTTCACGCTCTGGGGGACACAAAACAAAAGAAACTTGCCCCACTAGAACGGGGTCCCCCACTCCATGTAAACAGGGTCTTAGTCGTACAAAACAGCATTGTAGTCGTGCAAAATAACGGCAAGGGAAAGAGAAAAAAGCGTGCTGCACGTGCAAATTTTTTTTTTGCTAATTAGAAGAAAAAGTGTGCTGCACGTGCAATCTGTTTTTTTGCTATTAGTCTTGAAGCCATTTTCATTGTCATCCCCGTTTAGCATTACACGATTTAATTTTTTTTGTTTACACGTATTATTACCTAGAGCTTCGCTTTTAGCCCTAGCTAAATCTATATATTATAACTATACGTTTACAATTTCTCATCCACGTGCTGCGGCTTGGGCATCCTGTATCCTTGTTGAAGTAAGCTTGCAATTTTCTTGCCATCCATTCGCGGATACGGACAACCACCTGAAAAAAAAGAAACTCGAACAAACTACGTCTCCAGAACCTGTTGCCAAGGAAGTTTCCACGACAATTAGGCCATTATCGTTAATCAGGAAAAAAATTTACTTACCTACAGTGAAAATCTCATAAAGAACAACACCATAGCTCCAACTGCAAATATATGGAAGCGATGATTTGTTTGTGAAAATAACAAAACAAGAACTACTTAAAATTTGCAAACATCTTAAATTCTATTGCCAGGCAATCTGTATTTACTCACACGTCACTCTTGGTGGTATAAGTGTTAAACATTAATGCTTCATATGCAGTCCACTTGACTGGTAGGCGTCCCTGATGGTTACACGATTAAAAGTAAAACAAACATCTATTGTAAAATTTCTTACACAAAATGAAGTATATAGTGCTTTATTCAGAAGTCAATCGCAAATAAGTGCGATAACGAGTTGTTTCCGTTTTGTTTTTTTACCTTGATCAGAGAATCGAGCAAAACAAGTTCGTAATATATTGATTTGGCTAGGGCTAAAAGCGAATCTCCCATTAATAAATTTATAATTTAAATCATAGTTAATAGAGGAGACTGATTAGGAAAGCCGGCAAACATCAAAGTTGAAAACAACGGTGCTGTAGTTTATTTGGAAGCTCCCTGATCGTGCACAATCCTTTGTGTCTGAATAAACTAAAGCGATGTTCTTATTGGTCAGTAAGTTCAAAACTATGGGAATGCTATTGAACGTTGTGCACGGTCAGGTCCAAAAAAGCTAACAAAAAGATAAAACAAAAAGGTCTGTGTCTAAATCAAACAATAAACTTGCAATCCACAAATCAGTTAACTTAAGGGCACATTAATGTGACTTTTGAGGGAAAGGGTAAGTGATTTTAGAGAAAAATAGATTGCAAACAGTCCATGAGTGAAACAAATCTTACATCGAGTTAATAGTCTTATATGTACACCCAAAAAATAGCAATCACCTTCGATCACAGTCAAGAACAAAAATGAGATTGAAAATAGAAAATAAATAAATAAATTGAAATCCTGTGATTAGATTTGGAGTACAACAGTTCATCATAAATAATCTCAGTTAAGTTAGCCTAACTCAGATACCCTTGTCTTTCTTTCATAAATGTTCTCCTGTTGGACATTCCTGGCCATTCCAAAGTCAGTCACTTTACATGTTTCTCTTTCTCCAACCAACACGTTACGAGCTGCAAGATCTCGGTGAATGATCTATAAGAAACCGTTTACCAATCAATAAAATTAGAACTGGCAGGAGAGAATTGAATTCAGGGCACGATTTGTACCTTTTCTGGACCATGGCATATTAATGAAGCACTCATTCATTGATTCATTTATAAATCATCACACCCACACATTAGTTTGGTAGTATAGGTGGCATGGTTTATTGCCTATTTTCCACAGGAATCTTGAATGAATGTCGCTAATGTTAATAAGACCTTCATTAAGATCAAGGCAGTAATTCATTGTTCTATTTGCATTGATCACGATTAGCAATAAAGCTAATTAATTAAGTTAGATACACGGCATTCATGGAAAACAGGTCTAGTTTTGTGTAATTATGAGTAGTGTTCGAATTTTTACTGAAGAGACGTCTGTAATTACGTATTAAGAGGGGGACATTGGGGTTTACGGTATTAAGGTATTCCGCTTTATTTAAGAGTGGTTGTCAGAGAAAACCGTGCAAAATGTTAAACATGTCAACGGATGGGGGTCTACGGAATCAGTTCATACTAACATCATAGATAGGTTAGGTGGAGTAATGGACAAATATAATAAACATAGGTTCTTCCTTGCTTTTGTATTACAGATACGAGCATTACTTTATTCGACCCCCTCGGACGCCATTTTTACAAGCAAATTTTCACCATTTTCGGAAACTCACAGAACCCTCAAAATTTAACGAGCGAAGTTTATTTTTTGTATGCGATACAACACATCACAGAACTACTTTCTAAAACCATAAGATTTGTTAAGCAGCCACGGACATTATCTGACCTGAACTCAGTGCCTGCAAACGAGCAAAAAATCTGGCATTTTTGAATTGATCTACGGCGCACAACTAAAACGACAGAACAACTCTGACAGCCAAATTGCAGTCTACTATCATCCATGTAACCAAAACACTATTAATCATTTTGGGCCATTAAAACAGGACGAAATTAGGAAAACTCACATTTGTTATAGTTTCCAAGCTTTTTCTTGCAAACAGGCAGATCCCTTCGTGTTTGTTTTAAGTCCTCTTCGTGAATTTTCTTTCATATTTCGCTGTAAAGTATGTTCAGCAGCTGGAGGAAATATCAAAAATCTCGAAATACTGCCTAGGCTACATTTTGAAGGGTAAAAAGTGCGGAACGATAGGATGAAACTAGAAAATAACAAAGCGACGCCATCTTGAAAATTCAGCACTCAGGAAGGACTGGCACTAGTAGCTCCGTTCGTGGGCTCTAGATTACCAAGCTTATCAGCGACCTACTCCAGTCTTATTTCTTCTTCAATAACTTCTTTTAGTTGAATGTAGCTTGTTTTTCTTTCAAAATAAAAAACAAAAAGAACGCCTGATCGCAGGGTAATTGGTGATTAACTGGCATTGCTTTATTCCCTCCTCATTTAGAGGTGTCCCGTGAATGTAGATAATATTGAAGATCTATTTTGTCTCTTTATAAATCACTTAACTTCGCCATCATGCGAGCTAGCTAGACTTGCTATATATCAACCTCGCGAGTTTCGAAGCGTGCGGGCTAACTGCGGGCTGTGGATATTGCTTGCTGTAAAATTTGCAATAATTATTATTACCAACTGTTTATTAAAATAGGCATAGTATATGCAGTTGAATCAGTGTGCGGGGCGGGCATTTTAGGCCGCAAAGCGGCCAAGAGAGCCAGCGGACGTAGTACTTTTTTAAAAGTAAGCCTTCTAACTGATGATCTCATCGCTGTCACTTCGCATTTCCATAAGGTAATAGACCTTCGAATGTTGACAAGAGCTGTCAAAATAAACCATTCATAGGGTTTACCAGAATCTGGTATACCGGAAGGTCCGGAAGGAGCTTTTATTAAAAAGTACCATTAAAGGAGTTGAACCTCGTCCCCAGGGCTTTTTCCTTAAAAAATGGGACAAGGTTGAAAGAAGTTCTTACGACTCTCACTCCGTACCCCATCCATATCATTGTTTTTCCTGCTCACTTCTTTTTCAGAATGCCCTTTGCACGGTCCACACATGATAAACGACACGTTTAGAGGGAACATGCAAATTCTTTTACAGATTGCAGTACTGTTTGCAGCTCAAAAACCCTTTACGGTTCCGTGGCTCGCATGTAAAGAAAAGGCGGATCCGTGCAAGTTTTTGGCCGTTCAAAAATTTGTAAAAGGGGTATGAGTGTTAACTCGAGTTGGTACCTTTTACATCATATTGATCATTGATAGAAGTCGTACACCTGGAAGATTACAGCCACTGGGTTCCTTTTTGTTTACTGGTGTAGCTGTGAAAGAATTGACATCTCCTACATCTCTTCGTCACTGGATTTGTCAAAAACACTCTCACTGCGTTGTTTAACATTAGCAGTCCTCATATTTAGAGAAATTGTCAAGGTCTTGCCTTAAATTCAGAGGAGGCAATGATGACAGAAATGGAATTTATTCATCTCCTAAGGAAGTTATTTTCAACGCCATTTCGTTTGTTAATCTTTTCCACAGCGCTGTTGCAAAAAATGCGCGCGCGAGTCACACGAGATGGCACAAAATGTGCTAAAAATAGCACATTTAATGGCTGTGATATATATTTCAGGGGCACCCAGCGACAATTCTCGGAAGATATCTGTTTGGAAGACGATTTGCGATCTAGAATTTTCGGAACATTTGTTGAAAAATTTCTTGCTTGCCTGCCTCTCCTAGGATTTTCGACCATCTGAAAAATGGTATAATTGCCCATTTTTAACGGATTTTTACCCTTAAAAGGTCACCTAGAATTTTCGGGAGCCTTTTTTCTGGCTGAAATTTTCGAAAAGGTAAGTTTTGATGCCTATAATTTTCGGATCACTAGACTTTCAGCTAGGAAATCCGAACAGTTGAAAAATTTCTAGATGAAAAAAATATGCCTATATCTACCATTTAAATACCAACAATGCCATTTTTAAGTGGTTTTGAACTATCTTCTCGTTGAGTGCTCCTGATATTTCGATGAAGTCAAACCCATCCCTGGAAAAGGTATCCAGTTACTGTCTACTACCCCGATTGAGATATATATGGCTCCTGATAGAGTATAAAAACGTAATTTTGTGCAATTTCGCAGCGTAAATAGCGTTGCTAGATAACTCTGTCCTCCATCAGGACCCCGTAAACCACAATTAAAACCAAAAAATGTATGAGTAAAGACTACACATCAATATTAATATTAATCTTGTAAAACGTCTAGTATGAGCCATTAAGATTGCTGAATGACCTTTTTCACCTTAGGCACTCGTGTCAGTTGAGTGTGAATCAAAGTACCCCATTTTGCCTTTTTGTTCAAAAAACCCTCTGACCTAGCAGCCCGGCTGCATCTTGCGCCCATCATCTGCCCCCAAGGGGTGAGGATCTGGCTTCTTTTTCATAGGAAATTCATAAATTGTCTACTAAAACACTGTGCAATATGGAAGCAAGGCCAATTTAAGCACTAAAAGCTGCTCAGATATCTCAGAATTGGAAAAAACTAGTAAGAGAAATTGCTCAGAAATTATGCAAAAAGTTGCTTGAAACGAAAAAAGTTGCTCGAAATACTAGAAGTTGCCAAAAAGTTGCCGAGCAACTTGTGGAAAGCCCTAGGGAGAAGGGGAGGGGGGTGAGAGACTACTCAATAAAGCTTTGTTCGGAGAGGCTTCGCCCCGAGGTCCAGTACCTTACCCTTAAATACACTATTTTTGACAAAAGATACCCCTTTCCCTATTGAAAAGTTGTACCCTTTTCGTATACCTGCTTCGTGAGAATAAATCGGTAAGAAAGGTGGTCTTCGGGCCATTTTCGTGTAACCTTAATCTGAATTAACATGTAAATTATATTGCCATAAGGCGTGTTTCTTCTAAGCATTTTAATAAAAGGCCCTTTAAATTACTTAATGAAAGAGTTTCCTCTCCTTTCACATACTTCAACTTGTGATTTTCCCACCCTTTGTTACACCTGATGCTTGAAAGAGGTACCCTTTGGGCGAAGCCTTCCGGACTATGAAAAGTGCATCATGAAATCATGAACAGGAGACGAGTGCACCTTCGGACATGGACGGTGATTGAAGACTGACGCAAAAATAGATGATACAATAAAGAGTCCAAAGAAAGACTTATACGGGATAACTAAAAATGAAGTGAATGAAGAGCAAATGAAGACTGAATAAAGTAATGCTAATTGGTCACCATTTCACCACACCCCATCACTCCGCCAAAAAACACAAAACAAGTCAAATTTAACTAAAAGTAGTGATTGAAGAAGAAATAGGACTGTAATAGGTCACTGATAACCAGGTTTGCTTGTTTGTTTGTTTTTGTTTTTTATCTATTTGGTAATTGATCAGTTTGTGGACAAGGCAGCTACTAGTGCCAGTCCCTCCTGAGTGCTGAATTTTCAAGATGGCGTCGCTTTGTTATTTTCAAGTTTCATCCTATTGTTCAGTACTTTTTACCCTTTCAAAAGGTAACCTAGGCAGTATTTCGAGCTTTTTGATATGTTCTCCAACTGATGAACATACTTTACAGCGAAATATGAAAGAAAATTCACGAAGAGGACTTAAAACAAACACGAAGGAATCGGCCTGTTTGCAAGAAAGAGCTTGGAAACTATAACAAATGTGAGTTTTCTAATTTCTTCCTGTTTCAATGGCCCAAAATGATTATTAGTGTTTCGGTTACATGGATGATAGTAGACTGCAATTTGGCTGTCAGAGTTGTTCTGTCGTTTTAGTTGTGCGCTGTAGATCAATTCAGTGGTCTTTTGAGAATAGAGTACAACTAAACAGTGAAAAATGTAAAGAGCTTAGGATTTCATTTGCAAAAAACAAACCACAACTCGCGCCTATAGTAGTAAATAATCAAGTGCTAGAATGTGTTGAAAGCACTAAATTACTAGGTGTTACGATCTCCAACAACCTTACATGGAATATGCACATTGATCAAATCATAAAGCAAGCTTCTAAACGTATGTATTTCCTAATACAATTGAAAAGGGCCAATGTCGCAAAGCATGAATTAATTCTTTTTTATACATCTTGTATAAGGTCGCAGTCATGACCTACGCATCGCCTTCGTTTTTCTACGCCCTGCCATTGTATTTAAAGAAAGATCTAGAGAATGTAGAGAAAAGGGCACTATCAATCATTTGCCCGGGACTGGCCTATAGAAAGGCCTTAGAGCTTTCAAATATTATGTCTATCAATGACTTCATCGCTATAGCTTATGTAAAAAGACCTTCCTCTCGATTGCTAATGACCCGGCCAATCGCTTACGTAACATGCTTCAATCGTCAGGGCCGTCGTGTTATAATCTTCGGTGCAAAACGCGTTTTGCGATTCCAAATGTAAGACCGATCGTTTCAAAAATAGTTTTTTAGTAAGATCATGTATTGATAACGAATTTTAGCGCTCGGTGAGTTTTGTAAATGAGATCGATGACGTTGTATATATTTTAACAGTTTTAAGCTTTTTTATATTTATAGGATGTTATTATTTATTTAGGACTTTATCATTATCATCTTATAATACTCCCTATTGTAAGATTTTGTTATATTATATTATATATTATATTGTAAATACACAATTCAGCTTAGTAGCTGCAAGCTTGTTAAAAATAAACTATCTATCTATCTCTAAAAAATGCTCAAGTTTTTGCTCGTTTGCAGACACTGAGCTTTGGTCAGTTGAAATAAGAAAATTTTAGTCTTGTCCGTGGCTGTGTAACAATTCTTATGGTTTTAGAAAGTATTTCTGTGATGTGTTGTATCGCATACAAAAAATAAACTTCGCTCGTTAAATTTTGAGGGTTCTGTGAGTTTCAGAAAATGGTGAAAATTTGCTTATAAAAATGGCGTCCGAGGGAGTCGAATAAAATGATGCTCGTATCTCTAATACAAGAGCAATGAAGAACCTATGTTTGGTATATTTGTCCATTACTCCACCTAACCTATCTATGATGTTAGTATGAACTTATTCTGTTGACCCCCTTCCGTTGACATTTTTAACATTTTGCCCGGTTTTCCCTGACAACCACTATTAAAGCGGTATTTCGGTAATTTTGATTTTAATGTGCGGTATTGCGGTATCATCTAGCCCTGCGGTATGCGGTTTTCATCCTTTTGGTTAACGGTATTCGGTAAAAGATCCTCCACGGTATTGCGGTACCATTTATTTGCGCTCTCCTGTCTAATACTGGTCAATACAACTGCAGCACCAACCACAGTAAGCTAAATAGGTTAATAAAAGTTAACATTTTTAAGATTTAAGACTTAATGGTAAATGATTATACAATCTCAAGAGAGAATGAGGTAAGAGAGCGAATCCCTGTGCCCCATGATAATTATTTTCAAACTTTTTTTAGCTCGCGCCATGCTGCGAGGGTTATCTTTGAATTTTGTTCCCATGACCGCGCGGTCTAGTTTCACGTAGATCATTAAGGTATCAGTTGTCACAGCTCGCTGTGTGCGCTGCGTGGACGTCGAATGTAGTTGGCATGAAATCGTCTATTTTTCCAGCGGGGTTCATTAGAAATGAGAACACGTGAAAAACTTCGCGATTTTTTGAAAAGAAGACGCTCTGATGATATTCCCAATAAAGATGAAGTTCCATCAGAGAAACAGAAGAGAGCAGCAGAAGGTAAGAGATATTCCTGTAGCTTTCAGTATTGAGATCTTTAATTTTGCAAACGTTTGTTGGCTCTCTAACCAAAGCTTGATATGTTATTGTTTCTTGATTGATAGAGCCATGTATCAGCGAACAAGAGAATGAATTAAAAGCCGATGCAAATAATTCTGGTTAGTGAATTGCTTTGGAGTTTTTCTCAGCTTTAACCTAGAAGCCGAGCCGACCATGTGCCTTAACCATGTGCTTTTTAATTATTTGTCTTTATATCTCAACACAGCACAAAATAAAGAATAGTTTGATTTTAACTTCCCACTTTTCATGTAGTCTCTACTTATGTTTAATTTATTAGGTACTACTCCATCACGTCCATTAAAGCACTCAAGACGTCGCTCGTCGCTCCAATGACAGGGCTTTTCGATCGTTGTACTGATCAAGGTCCTCTAACTTTTTCTTACAATGTATGAGGTTGATTTCTGCAGCATACATACTTGAGATAAACAAACTAACGCGAGATGGATACAGCTTTAAGTAAAGGTGACCGATCATAAATGCGGTATCGGTATTTCGTCGATTTTTGAAACGGTATTTCGGTATTTGCCAATTTTTCTTACGGTATTGCGGTATTGGGTACAAAAAACTTTGAAAAAAAAAACAAACGCGGAAAGGATAAAGTTTTAAAAGAAGGGGCCCCATATAAAATGGGGGTTTGGTTTTTTTTGTTTTTTTTAAAGGGTTTTTTGGGTTTTTCCCATTTTTTTTTTGGGTTTTGGGTTTTGGGGCCCCCCCCCCCCCCCAATGTCCCCCTCTATTAAGAGGGACGGTCAGGAAAAAATCGACCAAAATCTTATTTTCCTGGCAAGAGTTGAAAAATCAATTTCTTTCATTTTTGGTTCATAGAAAGCTTTTAGGTAGGTAAGGAACCTAATGTAGATTGTTTCCGCCAAAAGCCTTTTATTTGTAAGAAAAACTAGAAGATCGGTTTTCGATGTCGGAGTCTCAGACTGCCCTAATTTTTAACATGAAATTTGCTAACATCAACTTTCCTCGGTTTCGCAAACGAAGCCGTATGGAGAAATCTGGACACTTTCCACGAACAGAAAAACTATTTTTCTTCCACAAGAAGATACTCTTTCAGGGCAATAGCGAAGCTCGTCATACTGAAATAATTCAAAAATCAGGGATAGGTTTTCAGGATAACAAAAACTTAAGTTCGTTACTCATTATCGACGGCAATCAGTTTAACACGTGGTATAACTCCAAATTCTCTTTATGCTATTTAAATCACACATTTAGACATTCATTAAAAACATACCTGGAAATTGGCTCGGGTTATTGAAGGAAATCTCTGTAAGACACCATCGAAGTTCAGGAATTTTCATGGTAGGCCGACGGCAATTGTGTAAACACTTCCAATTTCGAAAAGCACAAATACAGAAGGTTACAGCCTAAAAGCTCGTTTTTCGTAGTTGTTGTGGGTTTCCCCGTTGCAAAGTTGCTTATTTCAATCAAAGGGTGGAGTTAAAAGGTGAAACTGGGTGAATTTTAGCCATTTTGCAGGGGCACCCAACGAGAATACAGTTCAAAACCACTTAAACTAGCATTGTTGAACGTATTTTAGTATTTAAACGGTAGATATAGGCACATTTTTATCCCCTAGAAATTTTTCATCTGTTCGAATTTCCTAGTTGAAAGTCTAGTGATCCGAAAATTATACAGCCAGAAAAAAGGCTCACGAAAATTCTAGGTGACCTTCTTAGGATAAAAATCCGCTAAAAATGAGCAATTATACCATTTTGGGGGGGGGGGGGTTCGAAAATCCTAAGAGAGGTAGGCAAGCAAGAAATTTAACAACAAATGTTCCAAAAATTCTAGATCTCAGATCGTCTTCCGAACAGATATTTTCCAAAACTCGTTGTTGGGTGCCCCTGATTTTGAAACGCTGAACTCCACTAGCCGGCCACTCCGGGTAACAATCTCTTCCGTGACAGCACCTGCCATAGGGTTAACGTTTGAAGATCAGAGACGGTGTCGTCAAAATGAAAGTCACGGAATCACGGTAGTAACGCAACGCAATTCTTGAAAGAGTAACATTTTCGGTGCCGATAATTTGAAGAAGGAAATAATCACACGCGCTAGTAATGTGGTACTCACTGTTTATCGAAAAATAAGGACTTTAACAATGGTAATTCGCTAAGGATGACGGAACAGGAATTGTCGGCGGTTACTTTACGATCGAGGAAACTTGGAGCTGTTAAATAAGTTATTTTGGTCACTCTTCACTATATTTACCCGACTTCGATGCTTTCGTTTGGAGGCTGCCTTCAGGAAGCCGAGCCAATTCTCTGGTATGTTTTAGATGAATGTCTAAATGTGTGAATAAACGAGGACTAGGAAAATTTGGAGCTATACCACATGAAGAATAATGCCGCAGAAAACAACTACTAAATTAAAGTTTTTGTCACCGTAAAAACCTGTTCTTCGTTTTTGAATTATGTCAGATCAACGAGTCTCGATATTGCTTTGAAAGTACCTTCTATTGAAAGAAGAAGAGCTGTTCTGTTGATAGGAATTGTCCAAATTTCTCCTTACGCCTTTATTTGCGAACGCGAGGAGAGTTGATGTTAGCAAATTTCGGGTTGAAATTACGGCCATTTTGAGACTCCGACCACGAAAACTGATATTTTTTAAACTTTTCTCGCAAATAAAAGGCTTTTTGCGAGAATAACTTACATCAGATAACTTATCTACCTAAAAGCTATTTATGGACAAAAAGTGAAGGAAATCGATCTTCCAACACTTGCCACTCGATGGTCGATATTTCCTAACCATCGCTCTTGTTTTGTTATTAGAAATTATATTGTAGTTGTATTTTATATTGTACCGACCTGATGATTGTGTTAAAATGAAGATTTGATTGATTGAAAGCTAAAACGGAGATTAAACCTGGCCGCATAATACAACCACGATATGTCGCTTCCAACGTAGGCTCGATTAGCAGCCGCTGTTCGGGACCGGACCCGGGAGACGGCGGAAATCGAGCCTACTTCCAACTTAGTTTACATTTTGTGTTTTTAAATACATTACTTAAACCGGTGTATTAAAATAACTACTTGCAAATAGATAAAAACAAAAACAAAAGGCTACGTACAGATCTTGATGACAAGTAACTCATTCCATCAGCAATCTGCCAAGCAAACTTCATTAGTTGTTCTGACGTCAGACGTGATTGTGGTTTGTTATCTGGGTCCTTGTAATAAGTATCATCGAGTCCACGGCTCTTTCTCAGGTAGCCCAGGAGATCTCCATATGGGACATACTCGATTAAAACGAATAGTGGGTCTGGAAAATTTGTTGAAGCCAACAACGTTTCAGCTAAACGGGGTTTTTCTATAATAAAGGCTATAATACAGGAAATTTGGAGGTAAACTGTCAAGTTCTACAAATGTGTGTACAATTTTGTTCATTAATACTTCAAATATTTTAACTGTTTCGGTAACACATCCCAGTAGTCGTATGACGTGTGGATGAGGTTTCAGCGTCTTCATTACTTCGAGTTCAGATAAAAGATCCCTTCTGTCAGACTCAGGAGCGGAAGCTAAAAATAAACGATCACTGAAATCTAAACAATATGGACCTAACATCCTTTGAGAACACTACTGAATAATATTCCTATGTTTTTGATAATGTTCTACCCTTTAACTATTTAGTGAAAAAGCGCGTATACAACTTTCTTTTCCTTCCGTTATTTCCCGTTACGTTAGACTGTTTAACTCCACATAAATCCTCCAAAAGGTACATATACCATTTTCACAACCTCGTCCCCAGGGCTTTTCCCTTAAAAAATGGGTGGGGCGGGAAAAGGCCTGGCATCGGCTGGTCACGTGTCCCCTCGTACACCCTAAAATCCTTGGTGTAATAAATAAGCGCTATGTGGAAAGCTAAAATTATGCGTAATCTCACACCGCGCGACCTGGGGCGGCCTTTTATATCTCTTGATGATCGAAAGGTTTTGCAAGATTTCCTTTTTGTCACAGATACTGGCCATGGTAATGTTTTGCTTTCCTTCGATTTCTATGAAGGGGGCAGGGAGTAACATTTGTAAAACGTCTGTTTATAGAGCTGTATAAATGATAAACAAGCTACCGTACATGCATAAAGTACGTACTGGAAAAGACCGCTTTCTCGACTCTTCTGATATTTTATTTCATTTCTTGCGAAGTGGGCCGCCGTACACTTGCTGGTTCTATTCACCTTAACTCTCAGCCATATCATAGCGACACGCGTTGGTTTAGACTAGCCTGTATGACCTGTATTTTTTTAAAATTCATTGACCTCTGCGATCAAACGACTGGCAACAAAGAAAGACTTGGGTCCATTTATAACCGACAGAGCTGTAGTTGATTCCAGTCGATCCGGCAATCTTCCCTTTCATACAAGGAAATTAAAATCCTTTGTACTTATCCTCGGAAGAGAAAAGATATCAGAGGTCTTCAAATGATTCAGATCGGCGACCTGTCATCGTTCCTTGCTGGAGGGCTGACTTGCATCCGGTGCGGAGATTTGTTTGTTTCGTGATCGGGTTGTAGAGAAGACCAGACTCCATGAAGCATTTTGATGAACAATTGTATTTCAATCAATTTCAATCCTGGAGGCAAAGGCCCGCATTTTTGTTTGACATTGGACAAAATCACTTTCCGCTTGATCGTACAGTAATTCCACAGTCACGATGAAGTTTAGTCAAAGTACTAGTCGATAACAGCTTGTCTCAACTCTGAAGCATTTGACATATTTTGTGCGTGACAACGTAGAGCCGGTACGCCCTTTCATAAACATGTAGCATTTGAATAATGCGCAATTAAATGGATCTTAAGCTTTTGAATCTCACACAAGGGAAAATATTGACATAGTTCGCGATGTTAGTATTTTCCATTGTTACTCCCTTCTGTCAGCGCAAAACCAGCGGGTTGCATATAAATTAGCTTCTCAGGAATATTTAGGTTGTGCATGTGACCAGCCGAAGTCAGGGCCTTTTCCCGCCCCACCCATTTTTTAAGGGAAAAGCCCTGGGGACGAGGTTGCCATTTTCAGCTACAGATGCTAGGTGAGGATTACCTTTAAGCATTTTAACAGCTACTGCAGTCTTTCCTGCTCTTCCTCGAAGATCTATTGCGGTTCCCTTGGCAACCTGACCAAAGGCACCTCCGCCGATGACCTTTTCTATGGTTACACTTCTTCGTGGAATTTCCCATGAGCGTGTGGATGGATGAAGAGGCGCGTAATCAGTTCTTAGGGATGAACGTTCCACCTGTGACATGCCGATTGTCACTTCTTCTTCACGCTCACTTCCAAATGCAGGTACCTCATTTAGGTCCATGTATTCAGGCTTGTGTTGACGAGAATGAGATGGTTGGACCTCATCCAGTGTTGTTTCATTCTGAAAGAATTTGTTTTTCTTCTAAATATATTGCACTTGTCCCAAATAAAATGAAGAGTATTCCATGACTAAGTCACTTAAATTTCCAACAATGGCCTATGTGCCGAGATATAATCAACGTAACTCCAACCTCGGTCTTATATTTTCCAACGGACTAGGAACCAGATCAAAAGAATAAGTTTAACTTACGCGATAAACCTCTGCATCGTTGTGTGGCAACGTATATGGTCTGAGAATAAGAAAAGAACCAAAAATTACATCAAACCTTTTTTGTACTTTATTTGCAATTCAGAAGTCGCAACAGCCGTTATTTTCTTTGCAGCCGTTTTACTCCCAAAGTTTGTGACAACATGATGCCACTACCCACACAGTTAAAGTTTTTCTAGTTTCTTGTCCAATCGTTCTCTCCGCTCTTCGCGTTCACTCATTTTTCTCAAATGTAACGGTTATTTCTTGGTGTTGCGGCAAGTGCAAACGACGTAATACAAAAGACTGAAAAGACACCGATACCAACACCACAACACCAAGAAACAGTCAAGTTAATGAAACTTGTGTTTATATTTTGAGCGCTAAGAAATACCTACAAATTTCTTTTAAGTTCAAACTTCTATAAAGTAAGGTGAGATAAACCTGTACAAAAGGTTTCATTGGCTGCCTGCGAGCATTGAACTCCCGACATTTGGAACGGATCACAGCTGTTGTTTGTGGGACATATTGGCACGTACTAAAACATCTATACTGGGAATCTAGACGGCAGAACAATATTTTAGGTCTCATACATATACCTATTTTAAAAAATGTTGTCGGAGAGAACAGCGAATGGCAATTGTCGAACGGAGATTGTACGACCGAAAGGAACTGTGGTTTTGAATATTGATGGTAATAAAAATAATCACCTATCTAAGCTAGTCAATGATGCCGGCTCCATTTAGTAAAGACTTTCGATGGCGGGTTATATGGTTTGTCCATGTTCTTCAGCATTCAGTGCAGAGGCTTCATTTTTCCTGGGCGTCTCTGAAAGAACAGTTGAGCGCTATATTTTAAAATTTCTTGTGACTGGCGATCATGTAAAGTCCGAGATAATTGGCCGTTCATACGAGGAAACCAGGAACGTCTTTCAATTGAAAAAAGTGTGAGTTTCTTTTGTCTTTAGAGTCAAGAACGCTCAAACAAACGTTCATAGTTGGTGTATTCATTTCCACGCAAGGTGAACGCAGCTAATAACGAAATTTTGCTGATCAAATATCGTAACCACAGTTGTAACCTCCGTTCGACATTCGCCATTCTCTCCGACAACCTTTATTGAAATAGCTGTATAATCCAGAGGCTGGAAGAGCTCCTAGATGGACAATTGCACCTGTTCAAACTTTACGTAACACTCGTACCTTTCCTGCCCTCTTGATCCTGTGAAGGAAGACCACCACAAGTTAATACCACAGTAGATTTACTTAACTTATTACTTATGTTTTCACTCTTTTTTCTCTCTCATGGATGTGACATCCCGGATAAGGATAAAACACTCGTGCCAGTACTCAAGTCATTTAGTTCCAGTTTTACCATTGTGTGTATTTTTTTTTTGCTGTTGTTGTTGCTGTTTTTTTGTTTTTTTTGTTTTTTTGGTTCTGTTTATGGTCTAAATAATATACCTGAAAAAGTTTCTTGAATCTGACTGGCTGCGGGTATTTCAGGTTTTAGTAAGCAGTAGGCACATGCAGAAAGGCAGGAAATATAACGGAAAAATGAGAAAATGAATATATATTCTCAGATAATTAATTTCAGTGAATGTATGTAAATGGTTAATTGTATGTGACAATAACCTTCCACAACAATTCAGTTATTGCTGCAAGTGGGTGAAATAACCGGGATATCTATCTATCTATCTATCTATCTAATCTGATAAACGATAAAAATATGAAAGAACCAATCTGGTACTGCAACCAGCAAAAAACAACGGCCAAAGATGGGCCCCTGTTTAGGAGATGGGTGGGGGGCAGTTTCTAGGGCCCTGACTTTCAGAATCAGTGCTCGACACTAACGCTAGTCTACTAGGCCAGGGCCAGTGAAAATTCTCGCTGGGCTAGTAGAAGTGTACTCCTTTTTTACCTGCCCCTAGACAACTAGATTAGTGAACAAGATTTTCTTCATTTTTTTTCTAAAACGCTTTATCAGTAGTCAGTTTTTTTAGCTGAGTATCAAATGTAAACCAGAGGACTCAGTATTCATTTAGTTGAGGTATTGTAGCGATTGATTCGCAAAACGAACGCCATGTTGGAAATGCAACTACGTCCTCGCTTCCACGTCACCCAATAAAGTAGGGGCCTGGGTCGGGTTGCAAAAAAACATCTGAAGATTAAGGGAACTCGTAAATATTATTTCAAAACAATAGGTTATTGTTCCAGAACAAAAGTTTTAACTTTTGAAAGAGCTCTCTTGTCTTAAGAGGGTTTTATGCAACCTGGCCCTGGATAAGAGCCGTCATCAAAGTCGGGTCTGCCATGTTGGAGTTTTCTTCAGGAATGAACAAGATTTCAAGCTTTTTTAACAACTTGCCTTCGAGAAAGCGTCCTTCAACGGTCTTTCGACTCAAACAAGCATATTCTCAAACACTTACCGATTACCGCTTAATGGAAGGAAAGCTTTTCGTAGGAGTTTTTAGTCCTAGTTCGATATCCTTCAATGACAACACAATCCATCGTAGGAAATTTCACTCTTCGAAGCTTTTCAAAGAACCGTGCTCGACCTGTAATCAAACATATCATTCTGATCATAGCATAACTGAGCCAATAAACTAAACATTACTACGTGCAATCATTTCCATGTCTTCCAACACGGCACAAGACATTCAGATTACCTCTTGAACTCTGGACTGACACGAAACAAACAACATAAGCCATTCGTTTTATTACCGTTGATGTCTTTTTGCCTCTTAAGTTGGATTTTCATAAAAACTGGTCTATAAACTGTTTTAGTAAAGACCGGTGGCTTGTCCTTCTGGTCTAGTGATTTATTTCACTCAGTAGCCCATCGGCCTAGTGTCCAAAAAAGTTAGTGTCGAGCATACGCGAGGCTATATTTTAGGAAATTTCTGTCGGTGTTATGTTATATTCATGAGAAGAAAAAAAAGTATATTGTATGTTCTACATTACGAAAAATAATCAGCGAGCATTTTAAGTAAAATGAGAGAGCTTTTATGTTTACCTCTTTTACGCAACCAAAGTATTAGGATAATAAGAATGATGATAAAAAATATGAGAACTCCAGTAAATGCTTTCCAAACCACCTTATTACACTGGCAGCGTTCAGTTTCTGTAAAGAGGATTAGGAATGGAAAGTAAAAAGCAAGAATGCACACAATATTAAGGAATATTCAGACGTAACGTTATTGCTTTTGCTGTCTATTAATGGCTGTAGGTCGTGGCAAGAGCACCAAAATATAAACATTTTGTTTACAAAAAAGGTTTCTACAACGAATATGTCAATAGAAATTCTGAAAGCTGCTGAAGTCACCAACCCTTAGATATGAAATTCAGTATGTACCAAGATATAGTCTGTAGTTTTCATCTCACGTGGTAATACAGCTTTATGCCGCAAAGACGTCTATATTATAGCCATATTAAACTCTATCCTAGCGGTTCCTTTACAGAATCGGATACTTTCCTAGAACGAACAATCTGAAATTTTCCCTACCTCTCTAATACCATGCGAAATAATTGCCAAGAATTCTCGGGAACAGGGTAAATTTCAAGAATTTCTTAGAATTTTTGAAAAAGCTTGCGACGTCATAAAATTCTTGGAAATTCTTGTGAATTCCCGCACGTTTTCAAGGGCTCGTCTACCAGAATTTCACACCTTCATGGAAATTTCCAAAAATTCTCGAGAATAATGTGAATATCAATTTGACAAGGTTATTCAAAGACAATTCTTGAGAATTTTCAAGAACTCTCGGGAATCATAGTCTCGCTGCCGCTTAAATCAAATACCCATCTTTCTGTTAAAGATCGTTAATACACTCTTATAAATATTTTGCAGTGTCTCTTGTTACTCACAGCGTGGCTCGGGTTCAATCGGTCATCGCATCGAGCTCTCTTAATTAATATCTCCAAGTTGTTAAGTTGCAGCTATAAGCAATTCCAAACTTTCTGAACGAATATCAACTTCTAAAATTTGTACGGACATAATTTATTACCATATTTTTGACACAACTACGTAGTTATAATAACTCTCAGAACCGGATACAATGATCACTTAGTCAGTGCCAGATGCAAAGTAATCCTGACTGTAGAAAACAACACATAGTGCAAGCTTTTTTTTGTTGCATGATAAGCATGCATCGCTATCTTTCCTACATATCTGTTTAAAAAAATGGATTTGCCTTATTCGCTATATCAGAGTTCTGACGCGCGTAACTATAAAGCGAAGTGCGCTGCGATCACCTGGTGAGGCCAGACTATTGTACTGTGTAGTTTAAAATTTTACCGGCAATGACTCTACTGACATGCGTTCGTCTCAAGTGGGATGATTTATATCCTCTACTAGTTATAGCTCTCGCTAAGTGCCAACGGGCAAAGATTTTACCCATAAGCGCGCGCTGTTGAATTTTAGAAATGTCATGAAATACAGTATTTGATGAAAATAGATTGAGCTTAATTCGACTGCATTGAAAATAAAGCAAACTTAAAGCAAGGGGCACACATACACAAACCCACGGCCGGGCCAGTACCTCAAGCATGCGCACAGCTATATCACGAGGGCAGTGGCAGCCACAGACAGCTGTTTCGCCCTTACTGGGGCCAACCAGCGAGGCAAAGCCGTTGGGTTAATGAACGGGGAAAACCCGCGTCTCATAAACCCCCAACTGGTGAGGTGAGTGCAAAGCCATCTATCGCGAGTTACCAGTAAAGTAAAGCAAGGGGCACATATACACCAACCCACGGCCTGGCAATTACCTCACGCCTGCGCACAGCCATATCACGCGGGCAGTAGCAGCCATGGACAGCTGTTTAGCCCTTACTGGGGCTCATCAGCATGGCATAGCCGTCGGTCAGTGACCAGGGAAAGCCGAGGCGAGTCCTTTAAGTGCTAGCTCCACACAACACATGTGGGAGCTGTTGGCTGGGAACCGCACAGCAGTTCTCCCACGACATGCGCAGGGAAGACGGATCCTGGGTTTGGTGTATGTGTGCCCCTTGCTTTAATTTGTCTTTTGAAATAGTGAACTAAACTGTTCTACAACATGAAGAATTTGAAATCCCGACTTTACGCAGCAAATTTTTCGAGATACTGAAGTTCGTGTTTTTGTCCGAAGTTGCGAACAAGTCATTTTGCATAAAATGTTAGTGGTCTTATGAGCAAACTTAATGTCCTCAAAAAATCATACTTAAGTCCGCGAATATTCAACGTACAGACTTATATATTTGGTCTCTTTTTAAAGCTAAAAAAAAATTATGTTGCGCCAATAAAGCCTTCCGAATAATTTTGCTTCAAAGACAAAAAAAAAATTCGATGCGTTATTGTTTTTCTCAGCGGCATCATAGTTATTAGAGGAGGCTGGTTATGATAAGCGGCAAACATCAATGATAAAAACAACAGTGCTGCAGTTTATGTTGGAGGCACCCTGAAAGTGCACAATCCTTTGTTTTCTGTTGGCAAATTGTTACGGAATAAATTAATGCAACGTTTTTATTGGTCAATACAATCAAAATGACAGGAATTCTTTTGAACGTTGTGCACTTTCAGGTCCACAAAACATATAACAAAGGAGTCTGACGGGTTTCATAACCATTCCACTCAATTAACTATGGCGGCATGCAATAAAATATTCCAGCGGGCAAATGCGACAGATATCGCGTAGGATAGGAAGGATCCACCAAACGATTAGTTGAAGACGGGATGAGCACGGGAATCACAAACACGCACACGGTTCGTGGATTCTCTGATCTGTATTACGTGTTCGCTCGAAAACAATACATTCTCTGTCCTACGTTACGTCATGGTAGCCTTACATTACACTATGTTACATCGATTCGAGATTTTTTCTGCCCTTGGAACAATCGCGCACGGCTATATTAGGCTGCCGCCTCGCAGCCTCGCGTCTTCGCGAGGCTGCTCGTTGGCAATAATAGTACATGTCACTTCTGCAGACTATCTGGACACGTAGATTTTGCTTTCACCCCGCAACAAAATGTATTTGGATCGTTATTTACTGGGATAACTTTAAGCAGCCTCAAGCAAAACGGATAAGTTAATCGACGTCAAGCAGTTGCACAGAGTTACAGCGACAGCAAGGACTAATCGAATGTGAGGTTTGCGTCCAGTGAATTGTAAGTAGGGCAATGAATATTCCTTCTTAGTATAACTTGTAAGTGACAGGTTGAAGCATTCGCTCAAAATTTGGGTTTACGCTATTTCGAAGATTACTAACAATGAAACGTCTCGTAGCAGTCGAGAGTTGTCACTTTGAGCGTCACGTCGTTTCTATTTTGTCCTCTCTCGAATCTTAATTTAAGTTTAGAACTAGTGCAAGTTCTAAGCCTTGCACCCTTCATAATTATATTACTGCAATAAGACTGTGATAGTTCTTGTGATAATTTATGTAGTTACGTTTAAATTCTGACAATTCTTGGCAATTCTTGAGAATTCTCGAAACCTTGTCATTTTTGTAATCTCTACTCTTAAAAATGCTTCTGTTTCCGGGAATTGCCGAAGAAGGAAATCATTTCTGAGAATGTCCGAGAATTTTTAGGCCGTTTCTATTCCAATTTTATCCCGAGAATTCTCGAGAATACTCAGGAACGAATGTTGGTGCAAATCAACAGCAAAAGAATTTTCCGGGAATTCCCGGGAATAATTCTTGGAAATTTCGCACGGGAATCAAACGTTGTCTTTGACTCTATTAGGTGGGTATTTCTTAAAAAGACGCACATTTAGTGCCACGGTCCCAAATTTATCACTTTTATATATAGTTGAGAGGGCATGCACACAGCTCACCTGTTGGTAAAGGCACGGATGAAGTATGTGGAATCGAAGTTGTTATAGGTAAAATCTTTAAGCAGCATACACTGAAAGGACCAATGGTTCCTATTATCAACGCTTCCGTTAGTTCAACAAGCCCTTTGTTTGTAGAAACAGGAGTTTTAAAGCATAATACCAACGACACAATCACACTGCCTTCCCTGTTAAAAAAAAGAACAAATTATCTCAAATAACTGGGGAGGCAGCAAGATGCCGAAATTCCAATGCTTCCAATCTTTTTAAATAGGTGTGAGCGGCTTACCATTTTCTCCAGTTTTATAGACCTACCAACGAATATTTTCTTTTCCCGAACTTTTACGCAACAATGTTTAATAATACCAACCTAAGCTTGTTAACTTGTGATCTGTCAAAGTGTGGGTTATTTTCGTATTTCTTGTTTACCTGAAAGGTATAAAATTAATTCAAACTGAAACAGGTTCCTCCTTAAAAACATTTTTTGTGTCGATGATGTTGTTTTGGTGGTTGTTTGGTTGTTTGTTTATTTGCTTTCATGAGAGAAGGCCTGAAAAATTTATTACCACCGGTTCGGTGTAAAATTCAAACAGACATGAAACATTATTCTTCAAATACGATAAAAACCAAATTGCAAAAATTATACATGATGTAAAAAATATAATTGAAAAACGTGACCATACCAACTAAATTACAAAAATAGACGCATACATCTTAAAATATTCAAACAACCCGGAGTAGAAATAATTAAAGTACTATTTAGAAAACACTAGTCTCGGTCTAAGAGGTTTCAGTTGAATGGTAATAGAGAGATTAAGATTCCCTTTTACGCCAAACGGCAAACGTGAATTTGCACCACGTGACCAAGTTTTTCCCTTAATTGTCATGTACTGTTTATTACTTCTTCTCAAAAATAAGTAGTTTCACGCCAGTTTTATCCGTAAGAATTGTTCAGGACAGTTTTTATCTGCTTACTTTCTATTCTGAGAAATTCTCAACTTAAGGCTAACGTTTGTCGTTTGCCGTAAACGTGAATCTTAATCTCTCTAATGCGATAGGATTTCATTCACAGATTTAAGAGTCAGAAGGACAAATCTCCCCGCCACAAGAAGGATGCATTATTGCAATAAATTCATACTACTGAGACCTTCAAATCTACTATGTTATTAGTCATCGGATTCTATTTATGGTTAATTTGATAATATGAGAACAATATGAAGGCTACCTCCCAAACAAATTTGTTAACAAAGGCTTTTGCGAGTGTACTGTTCAGATTCAAGTAATCTGGCTGGTATACTATTTTCTTTCCATTCAGCATGTCTATTGTAACTTCCAGTGGAATGAACTTTCCTACGAAGAAAAATAAAAACCTTCGATCGTACTCCAAGTGCAGTACTACAGTTGCGAATAAAGTTTCTATACAGTTCGTGTCATCTGTGCAAAAAGCTGTGCCTACATCTCTTTATTCTCAGCCTGGACACATTTTTCTAATTTGCCTTTGTTTTTAGTTAAGAATTAAATGGTAAATGTTTCAACTGTTATCGACTGTTAGGCGCAGAACTAGCGTTGACCATGATCGGGCAATTGTACATCCTTTGAGCATAATCAAATTTTCATGACAGTTGAGCAAAATTATCTAGGAAAATACAAGATATCAAAGAAGACAAAATTGGCACGTTTGGCCTTTCTTTTTTTTTGTGCACTTTAATTAATATTTTAAAATACTAAAAAAAACCTACTTGTGATCGTAATAAAGACACTGTGCTTATCAAATCCCAGGATATTTGTTGCTGTGCATGTGAATGTGTAGTTTCTGCCATCCAGGTCTTCAACATTTTGGAGACTCAAATACCTCCCATGGGTTTCAATTTCACCAGCTGCGTTTGTCCAAACATACGATGCAGGTGGATTTGCTTCAGCTAAGCATTCCACAATAACGCTTTCTGAATGCTCTGCTTCAATTGCTGAAGAGTTAGGTTTGGTAATTTTAGGGGGATCTAACCAGCGTTGAGGAAAAAATAAGGAGAGAAAATAAAGTAGCAGTTAAAACTGTCAATTGATGATAGAAATAATAAAATCAAATCTAATTGTACCTTCCAGAAAGTGCCAACGAGGCGAATTCGTTGATCTTTTATGGGGTGTGCCTAATGGTTCTTCGCGATTTAATGCATAATTTTAGAGGTTTTAAATTGATTTCTCTATAGCAAAAACATGAGGAGTACATAAAGGAGAAATCAATATGTGTCTGTTTTTATAGAAGAGAAAGTCGGTTTTGAAATGGAAATTTATCAATTAGTATTGTGTTATAGCCATTTTAGTCGAACTGATGTTAAATTCAGTGTCCTATAAACCGCAGCCTCCTGATCATCAGGATATCTGTAATCTTAGGAAGGTTGCCATACAGTTCTTTGTTGGTTTTATGCTCCTTCCAGGAAACTCCAAGAACTGCTATGAGCATTCCTGTGTACGTACCATTCAGTCTATTCCTCATCTTTCCAGTCATCGTCCAGCATTCATCACCATGAAGCAGTACACTTCCAACTGTGGCCCGAAAGAAACCTACGTTGAGATGGTTTTTTAGGTTTGATTTCCACACTTTCATCATTTTGTTGAATGGACTCCCAGCTTGTCCAATCCTTATATTCATGTCCTTTTCACTGGATTGTATCCATGAACCAAGATATTTGAAGTTATCTACTTGCTACAATTTGTTCCCTCCCAGTGTGACAAGATCTCCTATAGGTTGATTGTACAGCTTCTATTCCGTTTTCTTGTAGTTTACATGTAGACCCACTGTTTTTGCATTAACCTCCAGGCTTAATAAGAGAAGTTGGGCATCTTCAAGCTAGCCAGAAATTAGGGCAAGATCATCCGCGAAATCAGTGTCGGTGATGTATGTTGCTACGTTAAGGGAGCTCTGCCGTGGTGTAAGCGTGAACCCAGTGCGTGTTTCTCTAGTAGCTTCTCTGAGGGCATAATCCAGGGCTATGATCAATAGGAAAAATTCAAAGAATTCCGTATCACCATCAGGAGTTATCACCTGTGCTTCGGTGTCCTTGTAGAGTAAGCTGATGGCATCCATTATCTTTGTTGGAATTCCATATGCCTTCAAGATCTCCATCAATTTCCCACGATGTGTCGAATCAAAGGCTTTACTGAAGTCTACGAAAGTCAATATTGCAGGTAGCTGTTTTTGTTTTATTCCCTGTATGAGCCAACGCAGGGTTAAAATTTGCGGTAGTTTTGATCTACCCGTACGAAATCTATTTTGGTTCACTCTGAGCAGAGGATCCAGATGAGGTCTTATTCAATCTAATAGAATCTTGTTATAGATTTTCGCGGCTATGACAGTTAGGGATATACCACGATAGTTTCCTGTGTCACCCAAGTCACCTTTCTTTGCTAGTGGTATTATTCCACTTTTAACCCATATATTCGGTCGATCACCATTGAATGTTTTGTTGCAGATGTCAGGCAATTGTTGATTTAAGGCGCCACTGTTGGAGAAAAAGGATGAGGTGCTAAGTTAACTACTACTCTGGGAACCAAAGCACGGCGCAAGAAAGAGAGGAAGACCAGCAACAACATGTAGACCAGCTGCGAAATGATACTGGTTTGAGCATTGCTGAACTGAAGAGCATCATGGGAAATCGGAAGGAATGGATGAAGCTAGGTAATGGAGTTGAGTTCGCTCGAAAGAAGCAAGCAGCAAGATGTTAAATTCAAGCCCATTTTTTAGGAAACACGCTCAGATTCGAGGCAGCTTTGTTGTGTAGTTTTCATCACATCAATTAAAAATTTTATTTGACTTACGTACGGACACATTATGCTGGAATTGTAAAGCGAATTTAATCTGAGTGCGGAAACATTTGGGTTTTCAAATAAATTTTTCAAAAAATGACTTCTTTTTTTATTACTTTGTTTATTTTCATTTATGAAAGTTATTCCAATAACGGTCGTAAAACAACAGCACGCAAAGAGATACGAAGTTTGGCATAGATAGCAAGCTCAGTTAATACACATAACCGGGGATCATTCTTTAACTTTGCAACGACATGGCGGTGAGTGGATCCACGTTGTACAGCATATTCATAAAGGTATACCAATGCAAAGAAGCACCTAATGAATCATGTAACCAATATTCTGCAAAACGATCAGTTCTTTCAGTGAAAAGCCAATCCAAAATGTGAGGATTTTGGAGAACCTTAGATTGCCTTTCAGTGGGTGTTAGTTCCTTAACAGACTTATTTTCAAAAAGAAACTATGGCCAGTGATATTCTGTGCATGACAAAGTAAAGAATATTGTTGGTGTCCCAACTTATTGCCTTCAAGTCATCCTTTGCTTTATGCCAGTAAGCATCACTCCCTGTGACATTTTCTGCACAATGCATCAACTTAGACTTAACTAGTGAATAAATGTTTGAATGAAGCATTTTCTTCAGTTCTTCTACGGAACTGTGAGATTCTCCTGGATTTTGCTTAAGACATATACTTCCTTGGCTAAGAATTCTATGTCTCTGAAGCATGTTGAATGCCCATAAGCAAATGGAGGATGTGCTGTAAACCTATTCTGCCATTTCTCATCTTTCTTTGCACCAAATGTTATTAGGTGCTTAATTTTTTCACCAAAAGTTGCAGCACGTTTTGTTGCCGAGTTAGTGGGATCTCGTTTGCCATCAGGAAGAGAGTTGCTTGGAAAAGCCATTGTTGCCAAGCATTCACCTTTAAATTCACTCACACGTGTTTAGCCCCTTTCAGGCCATCTAATCTTATCGTGCTGCAATATTACATCTTTTATGATTTTTTTTTTTCTGTTGCAGCTTAAATTTCACAGGATTTAGCAACACACTACTCAGCTCTGTACCTTCGTTGTTTGGTAGGTCGTCAATATCAAGTGGACCTCTATCTGAATCTAATTCATCGCTTCCACTCACTTTTTCACACCTTACTTTTGTAAGATCAAGTGGAATATCTTCTAAGGGAAGTTGGGCTAAACATTCATAATCAATCTGAATGTTCTTGTAAGCAGGATTGTGTCTGACCAGCCAGTTTAAGGCATCTGATACTTTTTCTCGCGGCTCAATTAGATATTTTGACATATCGTTTTTACAATCAATGGTAAGTATAATAATTGGTAATTCTTTTGGATGTCTAAGAAAGGTATAAAAAAGCTGTTAAACTTCTTGGGTAAAATTGATGCAATGGCCTCGATACGCTCTCTGCCCTTCTGGCTTAGTACACACACTCGGCTCATAACAGAGAACTCTGGCTATGAACATTTCTTCCCTCTGCGTGAAATTTTGAAGTTCTAGTGGCACGTGAGATGGTAGCAAGCTGTTTTCCAATGAAACGTTTTTTGTGTGTCATTCTTGTCTCTTAAGCACCTGGTACAACTATATGGTTCCTTTTTTTTTATTTAAGATGAAGTGGCGAGCATGCTTCATGACAGCATTGATGGGACATAAAGCTATTCGTAACTTCATCGAATTATGAAACGTTTGCATTGCATGTTCAGTTGTTGTGCCCACTCTTGTTAGTGAAGTTCTCCACAGTTACTTGTTTTGAACTGAGATAAATACATTTTCTGGCGAAAAACGCCATTTTTCAGACTTGTTACTCCTCCATTCATTGCACTTCTATCTGCATTGCTTTTTTTCTTAGACCTGTAGGCCCGCATGTACAACTTCGTTCTTTCCTTCATTTCACTAGATTTTTGTGAAGACCGTCTTCTTATCTTCTTTTTAGATCGTTTAATGTTTTCATTTGCATAATAAGTATCGCTTAAAGAACTGACACTTCGACTTTTCCTCTTCATTTTAAAGTTAATTACTCAGACAATAATCATTTCTTTGGTATTCAATTCTTATACATACTTCTAAATTGTCCCTTTTGTTTACTACGTCAAGTTCGGAATTAGTTTTAGCTCTGTACTTCTGCATGTAAGCATTATTTTTTGCCTTGACCTCAACTCTGTCCTCCTTTTTATAACTTATAATTCTTTGGTCTAACTTCACTTCCTTCGTACTGCAGGAGTCTTTTTGTGATTTGCAAACAACTGAATTTAACACATAACACACAACACACCGTTATGTTTTACTCCTTACTTACATCTTACATCAACAACTGCGAGGCTTGTAGCAGGAGTGCCATATCCATTATCGGCAGTACACTTGTAGGACCCCACATCGTCTACGTTTACGTTAACAAGATCTAACTTATGACCAGAGACATTAAACTGTGCTGCTGTTCTACCCTCTTTAGTCCAAGCGATATTGGGCGTGGGGTCACCAGATGCATTGCATGTCAATGTAAAGTTTGTTCCAAGAGTAATTCTTGACTGCCTTGCAGGGAGGACAGTTATTCTTGGAGGCACTGAAATATGATATAACATTATAATAACCAGGCCCCGGTTGTTCAAACGTTGGATAAGGCTATCAATCGGATTAATGCTCTTAACCCATAACCCCTTAGATAAATCAAGTAACTAGACCAGAATTATTATGGGGAAAAAAGGGGTAAGGGATGAAGTACTCCAAATATGGACAGCAGGTCACTTTTCTCTACATATTGGTGTAACAGTCCGAAATCTACAAGGGGAGAGGTGATAATCCTCTCTAGGGAGTGATAATCCCCCAGGATAGTGAGAGGTGATAATCCTCTCTTGGGGGTGATAATCCCCCAGGATAGTGAGAAGCTAGGTGATAATCCTCTCTAGGGGTTGATAATCCCCCAAGGTTGTGAGTGGAGGGTGATAATCCCCCTTGGGTACTGGAGAGGTGGAAAGACCTCTCTAGATGTCTAATTCCCCGGTTTAAGGAGTAACAAGAGTCTATGGGGCAAAGTGTGACCTGTATGGGAGCACTTCATCCCGAACCCATGTTTATTAATTGCCAACGACTCTCAATACAGATATCATCACTAATTCAAGCTAGGATTGCGTGCCTGCTGCCCGTCAGGAAAAACCCTCACTTATTTTTGAGGGAAACCTGAACCCTCCCGAAAGCAGAGCCAGACACTTAACATGAACCTCGAGGGAGAGAGGTTAGACGAAAATATATTAATAGAAGTTGTAAGTAAATGACAATTAAACTTTTACCAACTTAATAATCAAAATAAGGCCCAAAGTAACTAAGTGCACAAGCATGTTAGGATGCCGGGTACGATGATTCCCCTCAGTAGAAACCCCACCTCTTTTCTGCCATATCTTCTTGACAATTGCCAATTGATTCAAAGTGTAAACAACAAAGATCAGTAGTTCGTATGACTGCAAAAAGTATAAGCAGCTTCTTAAATTTTTCAACAAGAGAAAAGACCTCATATATAAAACCTTAAGAAAACCAGCAGAGAGAATCAAGCAGTAATAAGGGAGGGTGGGATGGGATTTTGTTCCACGAAGAGAAGAATATGAAGTGCTATTTTGCTGAGCTAGGCGCGAAAATATAGGCATCGACTGTACATGTGATAGCTGGCATCTAATTGGCCGAGCGAAACAATTAGTGTGACAGGGGTCACATGCAGGAAGTGACCCCTGACAGGAAGTGAGCTGATTCCACTACTGGAAGGGGCGGGTTTATGGTTATCACATTAACTTCAATTTATACTGTTGTATAAATTAGCTTAAATCACTATCCTGCGGATAATATTGGGAAAAACGATAGCACTATCCGCTGAAAATAGATTTATCCACTAGATAGCGTTATCCACGTTTTAAACAACTGGGCCCAGTTCAACATGTAGATGGTAACATTTATACAACTCCGTGATTGAGAAAACTGAAAAATATATAGTTACTTCATACATAGCCCCATATTAGAAGAGTTATGGAGTGATGTGTCACCGATTATAATTGCTTTGTAGGACATGCTGTATGCAAGTCTTATGACCTAATTATGAGCAACAAACACAGGAGAAGATTATGACTGGAGAAGTTAAGTATCTCGCAGACAACTAGACCAGATTATTCATATTTGCAACAGTCCTGAGGTATAATGAGCTGGGACTTGTTTCAACACATTATTCAAAATGACGGCCTTGTCCAGCAAGGTTGTTGGGCATACAGAGAAAGAACCGGTTTTGCAATAATGAGTTGCATGGCATGGAGATGCATACTAGGGAAAAAGAGAATGCAGTGAGGGAGCTGGCGTGCTTTTGTTATTTTATTTACGATTTTATTAAACGAGTCGTTTGTCTAAATCACAAAGCAAATTGAATGTTTTCAGTGACGTATCCCGATAAGTCTTTTAGTATCAACAACCGACTTATCGTAAATGTTTTAAAAGTCGTTATACAAGTCCCCAGTTTTGTTAAATTTATTAGTATTATGTATTAGTGTCAAATCAACCTCGTCCCCTGAGGGCGCTTTTCCCTGGCTTTGGAGGTGGGGGAAAAAGGAAAGCGCCCTGGGGACGAGGTTGAGTGTCAAATAAGATCAGGACGCAATTTACTTTTCAACTAGTAATAGTTGACACTACAGCTGCCCCCGCTCTGTATATTGTCGGTCAATAGTATTCTTGCTCGTTGTGTAGCTCTTTGAAATATACCGATTCATAATGAAGATTTTCACAAATATTCCATACAATAGGTGAGATAAAAACAGGAAACGCAATAAGGTTCCATTGATCAAAACATACTCAGTTTCGAGAATAGTGTTCTAAACCATAAGAAAAGATTTAATTAGAAGTTGAATTTCTCGCTATTTCTCTTTCACTTTTTACATTCAGTTCATTTTATTTGCCGGAAAGTAATTAAAAGGACGTTTGAACAATTCGCGCTCACGCATTCTAGTCTTATTTTTAAACTTTACAGCGGAAGGACACTGTGAGCAGGTAATAAGTCAGCACAGAATTTGATTGTCGGCGAATTTCTGTAATCGTCTATCGTTCTGCTAGTGATAAGCTAGCCGTTGCTCACTCGTCTTGCTTGTTTGGGGCTCCAGGGGCTAAGTCTTATTCCCGTCAAAGGTTTCCAATCAAAGATTTGTGAACTCGTGTCTGGCAAACTCTCCAAGTGTTTATATATACACAGTTATACGCACCTTATAACTTGCGCTTAAGGAGTGTCTTTTGGTCCATAACTTTCAAAACAACTGCTCCACAGAATTTCAATGATAACACGTAACGCAAAAGAGTATCGAAGTATGACTGCACAATAAATGTCACAAAATCTACCTAAGCGGTCGCTTCGGCATTTTCTGTCTTTACGTCATCCTAACCATTTCGTACTTGCGGGTGCAAACAATAGAAACGTCACTATTACCTACCGATTCCTCGCGGCCCCTGTTCAAGCAAATCGAGATTTTTTCTATATTGACTATATGACTGTATATTTCAACTGTAAGTACTTTCCTTAATATACGCGCGAGTTACTAGAGTGGCCTCCTCGGGATTTCTCCTTCTAGGCGAAATCCCTGCCGGGGCAATAAGTTAATTTATAAATGTTAAACCTTCAAAGTTACCAAGCAAACATTCCTGTATCTCGTTTTTGTTTCACAAAGGATATGAACGTGGAGTCACGACAGAGACTATAACGTACAAATTCAATTGAAAGCGCAAAAAGATTTAAAAAGAAGAAACCCGGACAGCTTCCTTTGGAAACATATAGTTCTTTCCTACTCCTTGCTGTACTTTGAGACTTATCTTTCAAGAAACCTTCAGGAAAAAGGTTAAAAGCTCTCTAAAACTGCGCTCATTAGATACTGATTCTTTTTTCTGAGGATTTTCGTAGACGTAATTCTACCATAATCTAGGAACAATCCATAGACCTGGACAGCGATGGGCCACTGTTCGATGCATGTAGACACAAAATCTCCGTCTCCATCGTTCACAAACTGACAAGTAAGAAGTTTGAAACTCCTGACAGGATCGTTCACTAACTCTTCTTGCGGCATGTCACGATGAGGAAATTTCCCCCTAATAGAGACTTATTGAAAAATATAAGATATCCCCCTTATTTTTTTCCGTTTTAGGTACGCCAGTGAATGTGGCTGTTTTTAATATTGTGATAGTCTAAGCTTGATCTAACACCTAAAGAAGGCTAGCTCTTAGTTTAAGAAAGTGGCTGAAGGTTCTGGATTTATTATCAGAGATTTGTACCCTTATTA